CCGCACTCCAGTCTGGGTGACAGAGTGAGACTCCAACTCAAAAAAAAAAAAAAAAACTCTTGAGCAATCCCTAAGAAAGAGAAAATCGGAGCCCTCATGCTTAGAGAATAGCTAGAAGTGTATGCACTTTCAGCAGGAGGGAACCAAGATCTGAACTAGCAAGGCCCGTCCTACCTTCACACGACTAGACCAAGGACCCAGCACACTCAGATGTGTGTCTATGGTCGTTTCTCTGGAACAGGAGTTTACTAAGTAGTTTCACATGGGACTATAACCATCCTATTAAATTACCTGTCCATGTCATGAATGTCTTAATGGAAGCCTTCTGAGTAAACATCGCTAAGAACTAGTTTTTGAAGCATGTCATCAATATACATTTACTGAGACTTTGAACCCTCCCCCAGAAAAATGCGTTATCTATACACAGTATATGCACACAATTTCACAGGATCCAATGTACACTGAAAATCTATTTTTGGATATTCGGAAGAGCGATCCTGAGGGGCTCTCTTTGTTGCCCAGATTAAGAACCCCGGAACTAGACATAAACCATTTCTGAGAACATTTTCCTAGCTCTGTTGAGGTAAGATTGCTGGCATGTCTGAGGATGTGTGTGACAAAGACCCATGGACCTGAGATAAATATCTGAATACAGTTTCATGCATTTGAGTACAATTAACAGCAAGTAAGAATTTCATGTTTCTGTTAAGCTGCACATTTTAGATTTCACCAGTAATTTAAAAACCTACCTGAAATTGAATTATTCTTTCTTGAGAAAGGCACAAGTACATTCTTTCTGTATCCTTAAGGTAAAATGCACATTTATGGAGTTGTGACACAGGATCATCTGCATCCAGTAATGCCGTCTGCTTATCAACTTTCCTTATTATCTACATTTCAACAATTAAGAAATAAAAGGTCATCCACACATGGAAAGCTTTCATTTGTACACTGTCCAGAGTACATACAAAGTAAATGCTATATATAGTATGTCACAGTTATTTGTCCTATGCCTACACATACAAACACATTTACAAACAATAAGGCTAGGAATAAAAAATACTTTCAGATTGCAAGCATGTTAGAATGTGGAAACTGTTATTTTTCTTCCACGAATACATAAAAAAAAAATTAAACAGGCAGGCACTTGTTCTCTAGATCAGTGTGCTTTTCAAACATTAATGTAAACAAAAGTCACCTGGGGTTCTTATGAAAAATACAGTATGGGTTCTGATGCAGTGAGGTTTGTGTGGGGCCTGATATTCTGAATTTCTAACAAGTTCCCAGGTGATGCTAATGCTGCTGGCCTATGGACCGTGTTTTGAGTAGCAAGTTCTGATGATCTCTCCAATAATATACCAGGGGTGCCAAAAAAATGTATATACGTTTTGAGCGACGTTAAGAGATGTTTGCCATAATCAGAAGTATCTGGATGCTGATAGTAACCACTCTGAACAACTCATGTAATTGCAGAAGTTAAACATGACTTGTATTCATCTTATTCAGTATTACAATTTTACTACAGTTTTTTCCTTTCTTAAAATGTGTATTTTTTTTGTCATCTTCTCTCTATATAATGACAAACATCAAAGAGAAAAATCTCCAAAAGGCTACTGTGGTGTACTAATCAGTACAAACATCTTATATCTATAATCTAATAATTACATATTTAAAAACAAAACAAAATTACACTAGTTTTGCAGATTACTAAAGGGGTTTAGAAAGGACAGGTAAGTTGTTCAACATCACCAGGTTAATAGCTAAAGAACCAGAATATGATCCCAGGCTGGCTGCCTGCCCGGCCAACCTCTCTCCCTGATACCCTAAAATCTTATCCAAAGAGTCCACAAAACACATATGGAAATCTGAAAGATAATACTCTCAAAACCTTGTGTGACACTCACACATACAAGGTAATCACCACGCAGATGATGATGATGATGATGATGATGATGATGATGAGCAAGACTTGATGGAGTAAAAGCTTTTACTCATATTCTTTTTAGACTGACCACTCTCAGCAACATACAAACACGATATAACCAATTCTCACCTTGACATCAAAAGAAAGCTCTTCACTGACAAGTCCCTATCCCTCACTCTCACAACCCATTTCTCTATTCCCCTTCATAGCAAATATCTTTTCCTCGCTGTCCAATCCCCTGAAACCTCTCAGATCTTTTTGTCTCTAAGACTCCATGCCTGCTCATGGAAACCATCATGGCACTTCTCTGTCCTTATGACTTCATTTTCTACACGCATTTGGCACAGATATGCTCCTTTCAAGGTTACGCCTGTTCCAACTGACCTCAGAGCACCCAGAACCGAGTTCTCAGACCTCTTCTTCATTTATAATCTATACTGTCTGTACTGTTTGGAGGCGAAAACTCCCAAATGTATACCTCTAGATTTATCCTCTTCTGCTTTCAACCTATTCAACATTACCACTAGTGATGTCTAATAGGCATCTCAAGCTGAACACACTTATACTTAAAGGTCGTTTTTCTTCAACTAGAATTTTGGATTTCCTCCTACACTTGATCCTTGCCCACCTCACAGTTCAATAAACAGCACCACCATTCACTCAACCCAAAAACCTTAGAGTCATCTTTGATGCTTTGCTTTCTCTCACACCCAACTATCGAATCTGTTAGCAAATCCTGGCAAGTCCACTTTCACACAGTCGCCTTTCAACCTCTTATTCCTGTAATCCCAGTCTAAGACACCATCAACTCTTGCCTGAGTTGTGACAATAATCCAACTACTGGTCTTCCAGGACCACATTTCTGTGCTCTCCTCTCCACACAGCAGCCAGACTTATCCTTCTAAACAGAAATCAGCCATTGTACCGTGTTTAAAACCCTCCAGTGGCCTTCTACCACACAGATAATACAAAGTCCTTAACATGGATACAGAGAGATACCCCGCAAGACTCTGCCCATGGCTATCCCTGCATCTTCAGCTCCTGCCATTTGCTTTCTCCTCGCTCTGCTCCAGCCACCTTGGTTTCCTTATAAGTCCTCACATATTCCCTTTTCTTAAGTTCTTTTGCACTTGTCCTGTCTGCCTGAAATGCTCCTCACCCAGCTGGTAGTTCCTTGCCTTCATTATGGTCTCTGTTCAAATGTCAGCACTTTAGAAAGACGTCTCTGATTCTCTAAGCACTTCCACAATTCTCTATCCCTTTAGCCTGTTTTAATTTGTTTTCTCATCACTATATAAGCCTGTTAATACATGGGTATTTCTTTAGCTGGTTTTTGGTCTATCTCCCTATCAAAATGTAAACTCCATGAGGAGAGGAACAGCCTTGCTCGCCACTAACTCCTGGCACACGGAAAGTACTCAGTACCATGTAGTAGGTGCACCCATGCACAAATGAGATGCTCTGCTCCCAGGCCTTAAGAGTAACTTCTCCCAGAGTTCTGTGAAGATTAAATGAACCAATATATATGAGAGTTCTTCAAATAGCACTATTAATATTATGCAACGTCTGGCTTTTACTACGTGATTACTCACTTATACTCAAAGATCATTCTTTAGCTAAGCCACAACTGTATCAAGCCCAAGACCAAGTTTCAGCGGGAAAAATATCCTAGTAAAACCAACAAAAATCCTGTTTTTAGGGTGCTCTCAAAATAGGCATAACCCATGCAGATCTAATCAACTAATAAGAAACCCCAGTTGGCCACTAGTGGTAATGCTGAAGGTGGTTAGATATGGAAGTTAAGTGCAAGAGAAGAGGGTAAATCTAGAGATATCAATTTGGGAACGTTTAGCCTCCAAACTGTACAGAGTATCTTTATAAATTATAAAGAAAGGAGAACTGGCAGTGGTAGGATGCTGCCGGGGTGGGTCACAAACATTAATATGGGTACCAAGCCGGGTTCGGTGGCTCAGCCTGTAATCCCTCGCCTTTGGGAGGCTGAGATGAGTGGATTGCCTGAGCCCGCGGGTTCGAGACCTGCCTGGGCAGCAAGACCTCATCTCTACAATAAATCAAAAAATCAGCTGGGCGTGGTAGCACATGCCTGTAATTCCGGTTACTTGGAAGGCTGAGGTGGAAGGATCGCCAGAAGCCCAGCAGGTCGAGGCTGCGGTGGCCGGGAGCGG